GCAGACAGCACTTTGCTTCTGTCCTCTCTGTCTGTCTCTTTTCCTCTTTCCTCCCCTAGCCTTTCTAATAAAACTTCTCACCCAGGCTGTCTGCCTGGCGTGCTTGGCCCCCGCCTGAGTCACCGTCGCTTGCCCTGGAACCCACCAAGGTTCGTTCCCCTCACGCTTTATCACTAACACTGACAATACTATTGTTAGTAAGGGTGTAATTGGAATATTCTTCTTGGTGGGATACAAAATAGTAACCTGTTTGGGAAAGTTTGACAGTTTATTATAAAGTTAAACATACTCCAAGGGAAAGAGATGTTCACATGAAACCCTGTACATAAAATGTCCATGGCAGGTTTAAAATAAATACCTAAGTGTCTTTTAGCTGGTAAACGAATAAACAATGTGCAGAACAAACACACATGGAGTAACTCGGCAACAGAAGGAAGTGAGCCGCGATGCATTCGGCAGCACAGACCTGAACAGCAGGTATTGGAATGAAAGGAGCCTCACCCAGAAGTCTACAAGCTAATTCCACCTGCACAGCAGTTTAGAAAAGGTAAGAGAAGAAACGAGAGCTGCAGTTGCTAGGAGCTGCATTGACGGAGGAGCTGAGAAACTGGAGGAAGACGGATGGTGGCGTTTGGGGCCGTTGTGTATTCTTTTACCAGGGGACGCAGAAGTGTTTATACAAAGGGATGCATTTTAGTTTTCTTTTAAAAAAGGCATCCCAGAGCTATGCGCCCTCTTCCTACAGATGCAAGAGACTGTTACATAGCAAATGGCACTGATTTAAAAGGCTTGGCAGTGTTATGCTGTGAGAGCATAAACATTCACAACTGTTCTTGTATGTTTAAATATAATCTTAATCCCCGGGTCATGCAAGTATAAACCCAAATGAAACCTTATTGGTAGTTACCTTCAACACAACTGATATTGGTGCTCTCAAAAGATCCAAGTGTCTTTACTATGTTAGGTCAGTAGAAGAGACCAGGTGTATCATTCATGTAAGGTTAAACAATTTAAGAGCTCATGCCTGCCAGGTCTAGAAAATGTCTGAGGTCCTCTAGGAAGCAGACCCTGAGGCAAGAGCAAGTCCCTGCTGTTTTCTGCAGTAGAGTGGTGAGGAAAAGGTCCTCAGCAGGGAACAAAGCTGATTGACAGAATGTGTTTGTTGCCCAGCTTTAGCTAGACAAGAAAAGACACCAGGCAGACCTGGCATGGTATTCTTAGTCTGTACTTTCTCTAGAAGGCTCATTAGGCAAAAACTAAGCAAGTAATACTCCACAGGAGGACAGCGAGGGTGTTTGCCTGCTAGACCGCTCCTGTCCTCCCCCGGGGGAGTGGATTTTACACCTTTTGGACGCCCCCCTCCCAATCGCTGCAGCTCAGTAAGACGGATCCAGTGGCCTACTGTGTACCAATCTGCTTTACTTGAAAGTGGGGTCATATAATGAAGAGAGAGGACTCGATACCAAATTGGCTTGGGAATCTTTGGTTTGGTTTCTTAAGACAGGGTTTCTCTGTGTAGCTCTTACTGTCCTGAAACTCCCTCTAGACTGGGCTAGCTTTGAATTCAGAGATCTGCCTGCCTCTGCCTCTGGAGTGCTAAGAAGTCAAAACAGGGTGTACACTCCCCTCCTCTGCAGAGGGGACTGTCATACAGGATGGGTTCAGGGACTCTTGACGTGCAGACACAGAACCTGAAGTAGCGTGATCTATAAATTCAACGAGACAGTACAGTGTGTAGAGAGAGAGCACTCATTTGGGTAGGATGGGTATGGTTGGGAGAAGACTAGAGAGTGGTTCATACTGTTGGGTATGAATGGCTGGCTGGCTCAGAGACCACAGGACACACCGCAGCCAAACAACAATGAAAGACAGGACAGGGAGTATGACCTAGTACGCCACAAAATGGCTCACTCAGACAGAGGGTACACAATTCACAGTAAGCATTCAGACTGAGGACACACAGTTTCACAAGGCTGGAATTCAGACACAGGGTGCTGGAAGCTAGCTTGTGGGCAGATGAAGAAAGCCTTGGCAGGGAAAGGAACATGGAAAGGACAAAAGCCATTTCACACTTCCAAGCGGAAAGGAACACATATGAACTTGTTTTCAGAATACAATTCAGGGAAGCTGTTAGTTTTAGTGGGAAGAATGTTTAATTAGGATCCCACATGGGATCCCTCATAATGTGAGTGTATTAAAGCTATAATAGTCAAGACATGAAATAACTTTTTTTATTATTAAAGAGCCAACTCTTATAAATTAAAATTCAGAGCCGGGCATGGAAGCCTGTACCTGTGTCCCACTGTTGAGGAGAATGGGGCAAGAAGATTGAGGCCTGGAGTTCAAGGCCAGCCTGGGCAACATACTGAGGCTGTTTTTTTAAAATACATATAGATGATATCTTTATCAGAAAAAAAAATTCTTTTATACTTTATTATGTTTATATAAATCATTTAGGTATATAAATCAGAAGGGAACTGGAGGTATAACTCAATAATACAGTACATGTCTAGCACACATAAGCCCCTGGGTTCAATCCCAGCACCCCCCCCCCCCAGCCCAATATCAGGGGAAAAAAAATTAGAAAAAGAAATCAACCTGAAAAGATTAAATAAAAATATATAGTTTAATCAAAAGTTTCAGTAAAGAAATCCCATGTCCAACTAGAGGTTAAGTTGCCCCCGGGTTAGGGGTTAATGCTAACACAACAGCATTAAATAAGATGTCTCAGCAGTTAGAGCAATAGCTGCAGTTACAGGACCCAGGTCAATTCCCAGCACTCACATGGCAACTCAACTGACTATAATTCCAGTTCCAGAGGGTCTGGCACCCTCACCCTTAAAGGGTGAGCCCTGACCTAATGACTGACATCCTTGGGAAGAGAGCATCCCAGCCTCAGCCTCACAGCACCTGTGCCTGTGTCAGCACATCATGGGAGGGAGTCAAGACCGAATGGGGAAGAGCTGTAGTAGACAGAGGCCACATCAACAGTGAGGTACCAGCCATCTACAAAAGCCAGTACTCGCTGACTCTTTCATCGTGCCCCACATCCAGAACTATGAGATAGAAAATTGCTGTACATTGCATTGCCAACCTGACACACCACCACGGCAGCCCAACCAACCAGACTTGGAACCTAACCTGAACATTTTAGCTCCAGTAAAGTAGTCAAACCAAAAGGGTCCATCACTCACAGAGATCGTTTATCAGATATCGAGGATGAATTTGTGATGGATCAATGGCCAAATGGAAGAGGCAAAAATGTGAAGGAAAGGGGAAGACTTAAAAGAACCCACAACCATGGAGTACTATGGCTCATGGTGACTAACATTTACCTAGCAATTTTAATGTTATCAAAAGCTAGGAAACAGCTGTGAGTTAGGTAGGCTGAGAGCTAAATCCTATGTGCATAGGAAGACTTCATCAACACTATTGCCACAAACTGGAAAATCAAGAAAGGTGGCCTGTAAGAGTATTACTTAAACAGTGGAGGAAAATACACAGAACGACGCAAAAGAACTCCAGCTGGCTACGTCAGACCTGACAACTGGACAGCACAGAAGATGCATTTTACACGGTCATCTCAGGAGCCTTTAAAATAAAAATATAGTTTAAAAAAAAAAAAAAAGCACTACACAGACCTCCAGAAACTTTTTAAAAAGCAGCTGCTTCTTCTCACTGGCCTTTGGATAGTGTGACATGGACAGAAGCCAGATCAGTGTGTGTAAGGTTATCCAATAAGCGAGGTTTTTAGCAAGGTATTAGTAATCCAAAGATAGGGGACGAGACAGGTGGCAGAGCTCATGCCACACATGCCACGGCCCTCTGCAGGCAGTGTCCTCCACAGAAGCTGCTTGCCAAGGTGTCCTTACACCTTCGAGACTGGACACACTTCTCTACCCCACCCAGCTTTGGACTCTTTTGCTCTAGTTTCTTACAATGCTGAACCTTCGCAGTATATTCTGGGGAAGATTCTGCAGGAGAGGGGAAGCACTTTCAATCTGTAAATGTGGCGAGTATAGAGAAACCTTAAGAGCCATCACTTGAGCACAGAGCAGATTAGCAAGAACAGATAAACTGCTGGGTTTCCTCAGGGTCCGACCCCACAGGTTCACAGACAGAGAGAAAATAACTACCATTCGTAGCATCACTTGGTCAGTTTTAGAAATCCTCAAAATCAGAAGGCTGTAGAGATGGAAGCCAATTTGCCAGGCATTCATCAAACACTTGCTGTGTCAAGATGAGCAACTTCCTGAGTGATGAGTACTTCCTACAGCTGAAGTAATTAGCACCTCCAAGTAGCCAGAAGTGTTTCAGAGGAAGGGCACCGTTCCAGTGTGGGAGGCCACCGGGCAGAACCCGAACAGAGGTCTTTAGGGTCAGCACCACCCCGTCTTCCCAGATATCCAAGGGTGCATGGTCATTCCTAGTCTGTTCAACCTTTAAGATCTAGAGGGTTTCCCAAGCCTTCTGGACATTTCTTCCATGTAGGTAGCACTTACCCTGTCAAATAAATTATAATTTAACCAGCACTCTGGTTATTTTGCCCAACTTAACAACCTTCTCTGGTTAAACAGCTAACCTGGCAGTTCAATAAGAGGCTGATCAAACTCCAACCCTGACCACGCAGAAAGAGCCCTGCTCATAGTCCCACACACAGAGTAGGTGGCAAAGAAACTGGCTACTGGCTACGTTTTTAGTAGAAAATTTGAATGGTCAGGAAAAAATAAACCCTTGAATACTGTGTCAGTAACAAAACATGGTGAAAACTATGAACCTCTGCACTTACACATACTACAAACATGGGCAGAGGAAATTTACAGGGAACAGAAAAGGCAATTAAAAAATTTCGTAATAGTCTATCCACTCAGAAATCTGAGAAAAGCTGAAGCCTAAAATGACAAGTGTTCTGGACTATTATAATTATTGTACATCCATCAGCAATGCAATTCATCTTTAAACTTAACACACATTAAAGAATAATAAGAGATTTAAAAAAGTTTAAAAAAATGTTTTAAAAATTTTAATTCCTTTGACCTGATTTAATTAAAAGTCATCCAGCTGTCTTCTGTTTGGCTCTGATCTCAGATGGCCCCTGTAACAGCCAAGCCAGGTGGGCCTCATTGGGCCCATCCCCAGTGTGCTGGGTAGAAAGGTCTCTGGTAGCTACCAGAAGTCCACTTCTTATTCTGGGTTGCTTGGCTGCCATTTGGCTTCAGGTTCCAGATGAATCTTCTCTGTGAATAGTCCTCTCCAGCCGGACCAGGAGGAGGGATGAGGCCTCTCTGGTAAACACTCTGGTTTTGTGAAAATTTTCTTAAACAAGAAGCAATAAATCATTATCAAGATTAACATATCATAAGCTTTGTAAAATAATAGAGATATTCTGATTTTACCCTTTCCTACCCTGGAAAACCGAGCAGATAATCACTTATCTTTCCCTTCGTTTTTCATAAAATGGAGCTAGGACTGGAAAGATGGCTCAGTGATAGAGCTCTTGCTGAACAAGTGTAAGGACTTGGGGCTGGCTGCTCAGAGCCCACAGAAAGTTGAGGAACAGTAGCACGTGTCTGCAGTCCCTAGCACCAAGCAGCAGGCAGACAGGACTCCTGGAAGCTAAGCTCGGCCAGCTGGCCTAGCATGTGCAATACAACAGTGGGCGAGTGAAGGGTAACAGGAAGTCGCCTTCTGCCTCGCACGCACGCACGCACGCACGCCCTGTCTCTGTCTCTCTAGCCCACGCACGCACGCACGCACGCACGCACACGCGCCTCTCACGTAGTCACATTTGATTGGCTGTTTCTTTGGTCTCTATCCCTTTTCACCTTTTTGACTGGTGTTACAGGAGGTTGAGCAGCCACGTGGGTGCTGGGAACAAACCCGAATCTTCTGCAAGAGCAGCCAGTACATTTAACTGCTGAGCCATCGCTCCAGTTCCTGCTACTACTTTTTAATGTTATAAACAACCTTTCATGTCAGTGGCTTTAAAAATGTCACAGTATAGTCATGGTTACTTGGCTGTATCAATCACAGGTACTACCAGTTTTCCTACTATCATTATTTTGGGGATTAGCATCTCAGATACTACTGTATGCACAGCACCTAGCTCTGCCTGAGACAGTAGGATTCAAGAAATAGTCTCAACATGGAATTAACCAGGTATGAGCATCTTTATGGCCATTAAAACTGATTCAAAAGGGCTATTCACACTCTCAGCATCACCAGCAGCATCTTTTTCAAAGTGTAACAATGGGGCTGGAAAGACGAATCAAAAGTTAAAGAGCACTGGCTATTCTTCCAGAGGTCCTGAGTTCAAGTCCCAACACCTGATGGTGGCTCACTACCAGCTGTAAAAAGACCTGCTGCCCTCTTCTGGCCTGCAGGGACACATGCAGGCAACACTGTATATATAATAAATAAATCTTTAAAAAAAAAAAAAAAATAAAAGGTAACAATTTGCCAACTTGCTTTAACAGATGTAGCAGGCAACAGCCATAGTTACATAGTTATGGGTTATGTGTTTTAAAATCTCCAGGTCAAAGAGTGGAGATTAGAGATAAGGTCTCACCCAAGATTGCACAGTGAGGATGCCAGAGTAAGAAGACAAATTCAGACCAGCTGACAGTCACGACCCTCAAGTGCTCATAAAAACCACAGCTAATTCAACAGCCAAAAATGTCTTACACGCTACAATACTTTGGGTAGCATCCTGACTAGAGTAAGAAGCTAAGAAGCTAGTATTCTTTGCATATGTCTACAAGAGTGCTTCTGAAGAAGACTGATGAATGAAGAGTACGGAGTACGAAGGTCTGCCCTCCATGTGGGCAGGCACCGGCCACCTGGCTGGGATTACAACACAACCACAAAGGCAAATTCACCCACTCCTCCTCCCCGCAACCCCTCCCAAAGGCTTCTCAGGCCTTTCCTTTGGGGTCCTGCAGACACCTGCCATGCTCCCTGGGTCTCCAGCTTACAGAGGGCTTGTTGAGGGACTTCTCAACCTACAGTCACACAAGCTAATACTCCAGTAAAGGCCCCTTCTCATCTAATTGCACAGTCTCTCCCTTCTTTATCTTCCAATTCTCTGGAGACTCCTAATAAACTGAGAATTTTTCCATTCCCAAGTGAAATATTTGTATGATTTAATCTTTTCAAATCTCTTGTAACAATTTCTATCAGGATTTTACTAACTTTCAACATTTGTTCTTTCTCTGTTTTGGGGGTGGGGTGGGAGTGGGGTTAGAGTCTCATGTAGTCTAGGCTGACATCAAGCTCACTATACTGCCAATGATGAATTTCTAGTCTTTCTGTCTCTACTCCCAGTGCCAGGATTACAGGAGCCACTACCCAACCTGGCTTCGTATTTGTTCTTTAAATGCTAGTCTTCCCTTCCTTGTTCCAAAAACTATGGAGCCTAAGAGTTCATGGTTCTTAAAGCCTAGGGATGGTTCCATACATGCATGTATACACACGCACACACACACACACAAAATAAGATTTTATTCCCTAATAGCCTCATCTAACCTTTTCTGAATTAAATTAAATTTAAAAATAATAAAAGTTCCTTTCCTCACTGCCTCTGAAGAGCGTTTGATCTGCAGAGCAATGTGAGCCCTACTGACTGTCAGGAAGAGAACACCAACTGCTGGTCACTGCTAGTGTGCTTTCCTGGCATCTCAGCTCCAAGGAAGGGAAGCACAGGTACCTGAATGACTGCTGGGGATTGTGGGTCTGGGTAGGAAAGTGCCGGGGCGGCGGTGGACGGCCAGCAGGCTGGTTGCTCCGTGGTCCTTGGCTCACAGGCTTGTTGGCACTGTGGACTTGGCCCTTAAGATGTGCTGAGTCTTCAGGACCGCCGGACTTAGATGTACTAACGTTGCGGGTCCTGAAAGAGAGTGTCCACAGCGTTACCACATCCCAGCTCCTGTGGCCACTTTAGTGACGATGTACTTTGGTTTGTGAAGACAGGATCTCAACTCCCCCATTCCTGCTTGTTTAGGTTTTACTCAGCAAATGAGCAAGCAAGATGCCAGGGTAATGTGCTACTTGAATTATATAAAAGCAGTTTTCCTAACTGTTAGCATCCAGGCACGCCTTGGCCTCACCCCTTGGGGCGCATGGCAAGCAGTACCCTGACTGTATGCACTCACAATCTCTGCCTACTCCCCCCCCCCCCGACTCTTCCTCTCTCCTTGTCCTTCCCTTCTCATGTAATTTCTGTCTGCACTGCATGTTTGTCCCTCACCTGCCCACAGGACTACCCGCTAAGGTCCCACCAATAACACCAACCACAAATCTGACTCAGCAAAACGTAATAATTACTTTCTGACGTGGCGATTCTGCAGGTTTTCAATGTAATTCTGCCTTTCCATGCAGTGCCCCCGGCACCTGTTGAATACTGAGGAGTGGGTGAAGGAGAACAGTTAGAAATAGCTGCACAGGAAGAAAACTTACCCAGAGAAAACAAACCAAAGCTCACATTCACTGACTAATCATTAAGTTGATTCATCTAGCATATCGCTTGCAGATCTATTCCTTCATAGCTTTTGGCAAAAGACCACCTTATATTACTGTTATTTTCTTTGTTTTGGTACTGAAGATCAAACTCAGGGCTCCACACAGGCTGAGCAAGTGCTTTACCATCGAGCCACATCCCCAGCCCCAAGAAGTAATGTTCCTTCCTTCTCTCTCTTCATCTTCTTCTTGGTATCTTATATTGATCATATGCATTCTTTTTTTTTGTTTCCAAAAACTGAAAAGTGGGTCTACACTTCCACCTATAGCTTTTATAGAAAGGGAAAAACAGTGACACCCCCATACTTACATTCAATTGCATCATCTGGCCTCATGCCTTCTACATCAATCAAATATCTAACAAAACAACATAATGTGGGTCACTTAAATATACAAAAAGAAAAGCAAAAATCAAAACAGGTCCAATTTCACTTACAAGTGGAGACATATAAATCCTAAGAAAATACTATATATCTAACCCAACAGTTACTGAATAACATGCCATGACCATAGAAAAAGACTATTTCAGGATTGGCCAACTTCAGAAATTAACACAGGTACTTACATTTAATAACTAATAAAGGAAATGCATGACCAAACTAATAAAGGCAAATGCTTAAAAAGTAGATTCAAGTAGTCATTTTCATCAAAAATACTTTGTGAACTAAAAAACAGGAGACTTCCTTAATAACAACATGTATTAATCAGGAACCAACAACATATAAATCGAGTGGGAAAAATAGTAACACAGCTAAGAATGCCAACTGCGCACGTCAGAGACAGGAGCTACCCGCTGTCACCCACTGTCCCCTCACCCTCACCTTCCATCTACCACCAGGGTCCTGACAGTGATGACCACATCCTTCTACCAAAATGACTTCCAAGAACCATTATACTCCAATTCATACAAAAACCTAATGACTCTACCCCTCTAGAGCATTCTTTACTCAGCAGAAATAGATGGGCTCAATACACCCTAAAAAGGTTCAACAACACCAAACAGACCCAAACGGTGCTTTGCTTGGCCCAGCTCTGGCTCCTGCCTGCACCGCCTTCCCACGGTCTATGCTGCTGTTTCCACACTGCCCGTCTCTTGCAATGAGGTATGTGCTCTATGCTCTCCTACGCTAGGGTCCTGGCTGAGCCACAGTCCAGTCTCTCTGTGTCCCTACGCAGCTAGCACTAGTTCAACCTTCAGACAGTCTCTCCAGCCTTCCACAGAAACGCACCATCTTCTTGATGAGACAGGTCATGGCTGCCCATCACGGTACCATGTTCCTGTCCTCCTCAGCACTTGACAGTGATAGCCCCCTAACTTATTATTTATTATTGAAGTCTTCCTTATTTCTTCAGAGACACGTTAAATGTAACCCACACAGCACAGCAATTCCCTAAGAACCATCACACTGCATCCTAATTCAGAACCTGCAAGTCAAGTGAGGTTCTGCTGAGTCAGTGATATGTGGATCCAAACACGCTCATACCACTTTGATGTTTTATCATACCCCAAACTTCTGATTTGCATGTTCATTAGTATGGAAACACCAGTATAACATTCAAAAATGAGGCCTCCAAATACTTCCACAGGAAGATACCTACTGCACATTAAATTGTAAACCTGAATGTCTACTGTACTTTAAGCCATACAGCTGAACTTCTATCAGCATCGGTGTAGTCTATAATTGTATCGCTGATGGCAGTCTCTGGGTGGAGACAAGGCTGCTCTATACTTCACCCATTTCTATGTAAACTTACACTGCCATTGTAACCCCACAAACACACTAACCACTTTTGGCTTTTAGGTTGTCAACTTACCTGCAAATGAGGTAACCAGTCCTGTTTAAGCCATGGGTGCAGTGGACGCCAATAAGTTTGTCTATAAGACAGGAAATGCAGAATTAAGTGAACAAGATACAGAATTAAGAAAACAAGATACACCAAAACTAAGTTAAAGACAATTTTCTGAAGAATAACACAAATTAGTGAACTATTACTGCTATGACAAAAAAGTGGCTTAAGAAACACATTATTGAGAATCACCTACCAAAATTTCATCGTTGTGGAAATTTTGCAAGTATTGGTTAGACACAATGATGCAAACTATAGATGCATCCATCAGGTGAAAGCTGCATTAGACAAAGCCATTTGTCTGTTTATGAAGCGGAAACTGGGAGGTGTTTGTGCATGTGCAATGTTGACGTCTGAAACTGGGCCTATGTAAGCCAGACAAGCACTCAACAATTAACTACAGACCTCAGCCCACCTTCATTTTTGATGCTAAATAATAATCACAACTGTACTCAGAAAAACAGCAGAAACATCTGCGGTATGTACGGCAGGCCTGCTTGTGCCCTGATCCCCTGGGAGACTGCTTCACTCCTAACCCTGGTCTCCAAGGGGCTGACAAAAAAAGGGGAACACTCCCATGATATTACACATCTATAACTCAAATTTGTTTCTGTGGCCAACACTTTAATACTACCCAGCTGATGTTTTCAAAGACAACAGATATTATCAATATCAAAAGTCTGGAAACTGCACTGGAGAGATAGTGGTTCAGTACTTGAGAGCACATCTGCTCTTGAACAGCACATATTCAGTTTTCCAGCATCTGTGCTGGGCGGCTCACAATCCCCCGTAACTCCAGCTGGAGGGAATCTGAACCTCTGGACTCTGAGTACCTGCATTCATATATGCACATAGCTACAAGCACACATACACAATTAAAATAAGAGATTTTAAAAAGTCTTCAACTACTCAAAACGTACAACAGAGTTCAGACAGAAAAAAAAGAAAGAAACCACAAGGACTCACCATTATCTTTATTTTTCTTTAAAAACTCTTTAACTGCACATTTGAACTTAGAAATAGTGTTGTTGTTGGGTACCTGGTGGCCAACTGTAAGAATTTTCATGTAAGAAATAGTTTCTGGCAAATCCTACAAAGCAAAACAAAGAAAAATGCATATTATTTCACTTGTAGGTATATATGAAAGACCTGGGGAACATGAGTATAAACTGATAATAATCTTACCATGACAGCAACTCTGACTAAAGTGCCCCTTCTTACAAAGCACTGATTTTCACTGAAACTATAAGTCACTAGGTACACAAAACACACCAAATCCCATGTGAAAGAGGGTATATATGGTGTGACTAAAAATTACGTGGGCAGTTCTAATTATGTCACCTTTCTGTGCCTTCAAAAGCAGTCATGAGAGCAGTAAGAGGAAGAAGGGGCAGGTGAGGGGCTGCAGGTGGCTCAGTGCTCAGAGGGGCTTGCTGCTCCTCCAGGACACACTTCGGCTCTCAGCACCCATGTCTGATGGCTCACAGAGGGTCCAGAACTCTTCCGACCTCAGCAGGCACCTGCACACATGCAGCAGACTCAGACACTAAGACACGCAGACGCGCGCGCGCACACACACACACAGAGACACAGAGATACACACAGAGACAGAGACACACAGACACACACACACAGAGAGACACACACAAAGAGGTACACACAGACACACACAGAGACAGACATACACACACACAGACACAGAGATACACACAGACACACACAGACAAAGAGGTACACACAGACACACACAGAGACAGACAGACAGACAGACAGACACACACACACACACACACACACACACACGCAATAGTCTTAGGGAAAAAAGAGAGGTTAGGTAAAAAATACATGACTGTGGATTGAAGAGGAAAGCACTATCATCATTTTTACACACAGTTCCTACTCTATCCACAAAAGCTTCAGAACAATGTCAGTGTATTAGCAAAAGAATATACCTGACACTCACATGTCTGAAAAATTATCCCCACTGAAAGGAAACAACTCTTTCTGCAAAGGCTGAGTCAGGTTGGGGATTGGGGAAAAAAACTGTTAAGATGAGCCTGGAACTCTTTAATGCAGACAAAGTGATCAGAGATGATCAGGACATATCAAAAGATTAAGGCTAAGAAATGATTTAATCTAGCCGAGGAGCTTTGGCAGCTTAGAGCTACCTAGGAAGGGGGTGTCAGTCTTCTTCAGAAGTGAGGCCCTAGGTACTTGGCCATGCCCCAGAAGATGGCATTGCATCCATGTGCACTTGGACAGCGCTAACTTTGAACTTACTGTGGCATTGGGTAGAGCAGAGAAATGGCTCAGAGGGTTAGTTCTTAAGAGCACTTGCTGCTCTTGCCAAGGACCTGGGTTCAGTTCCCAGCACCCACATCAGGCAGCTTACAACCACCTGTAAATCCAGGTCCAGGTGATCTAATGCCTCCTTCTACCATCCACGGGCACCTTCCAGCATGTCGTGAACATACACAAGAGTGGGCAATACACATAAAAAAGAGGACATAACATTGTGCAAACCAGGGGAAATTAGCTGTGGTGTTGGGGCGATTGTCATCAAAACACAAATTATAAAGGCTTGAAATTCTCAAGATTATTTTTCAAAAAATGTTTTAGGAGCCAAACTATCCAACTATCTAAAGAGAGGCCTCCACCTGTGCTCCAACTGGAAAAAGCAACTGCAGGGGAATTTGTAATGACAGAAAAAATTCAATAAATAAATTCTGATTAGTCACTACTGGCAGGTGCTAGGGACCCAAGATACTACTTTGAAAGTTGTTAACCCAGAGGAAAGAATCATGTTGACATCACTGAGTAAATAAACAAGCAGAAACTTCATTAAATGAAACATGAATGATAACATTCACCTTGAATAGCCTCGTGTGGTGGCATACACCTGTATGTAATCCTAGACCCTGGGAGGCTGAGGCAGGAAAATCTTGAGTTTGAAGTCAGCCTGGGCTACACAGCAAGACCCTGTCTCAAAAAAGAAAAAAGAAAAAAGAAAATCAACGTTTTGAAGCTTCAAAGGAATAGGTTAGTCACCAATAATTACTAATACCACAAGAGATAACCACTCATTATATGCCCCAATGGAAGGACACATGAGCAGCTATGAAAATGTCTCATGTCAGGCATGCTGGCACACCCTTATAGTCCTTGTGTCCAGTAGGCTGGGCAGAAGGACCACTTCAACACTGGAGTTCAAGATCAGCCTGGGCAACATAACAACAACCCATCTCAAAATCACAGACACACTGGAAATTGTGTGTCAAACAGCCACCCCAGCTGTCTGTAACCCCAGTCCCAGTGGGACTCACGCCCTTTCCTAACTTCTAGGTCCCAGCATGAATGCAGTGCACAAAAACTCATGATAGCACACAAACACACACGTTAAAACAAATCAAGGCTGTCCAGAAAAGGAAATCAATCTGGTTGTGGTGGTCCATGCCTATAATCACAGCACTTGGGAGGTTGAGGCAGGAGGATCAGAGGTTTAAGGGTGTCCTCAGCAACTGAGGACAGCCCTGGCTATGAGACACTATCTCAAAAAAAAAAAAAAAAAAAAAGAAAGAAAGAAAGAAAGAAAAAGAAAGATCAAGGCAGGAGGAGTACTGTACACCCATAATTCCATTAGAGACTACCGCGGGGGGGGGGGGGGGGCGCATAAGGTCAGCCAGGGCTACATATTAAGACTCTGCCTCGAGTACCAAACCCAAGACAAAACAGTAAGGAAGAAGTGAAGCAAAGGGAAATGAAGAAGGGGGGGGGGGAGGACAGGAGGGAAGCAGAGAGGAAAGGCAGCCCTGAAGCTGGTGTGGCGCCCACTGAGGGAGAACAATGGGCTCCACCAGCACACAGCTAACATTTAGAGAACAGGACAAAGACAACGTGAAAGACACACGGACAGCAACCTGACTTACCACGTGACAGACACGCAACTTCAAACTGAAAGTTTTTATGGCATTTAGGAGCTATCAGGTTGCAAATTTGACATCAAAGAACTGATATTAAGGAACAAGTATTGTATTTTACATATGTACACACACACCAAAAAATGTAGATTAAAAACAAAGAGCACTTCCCCACAACACACACACACACACACACACACACACACACACACACACACACAGAGAAGTGGGGGGTAAGGAAGGCAGAATGGGGTGAAATGTAGGAGCCATAATGAAACACAGCAGTTACACATAACTTAAATACTGAGCCAGAAAAAAAAAGATTCTGGTATGTGCGTCAATAAACATTGGAGACACAATGAAATAATTCACACAAGACAGTATCACACGCTACTGAAGCTGGAGAGGTGGTTCAACAGTTAAAAGCAGTGGTTCAATTCCCAGGACCCACACAGCAGTTCACAACCTTCTGTAACCCAGATGTAGGGGATGCAATGCAGACTTCTGGCCTCCACAGGCACTAGGCATGCTTGCAGTGAACATACATACAAGCAGCCAAAAACACTAATACAAAAACAAACACACAACAACAAAACAACTTTTAAAAAATTACTGGATGGGTGGTGGTGGCACACATTTAATCCTAGCACTCGGGAGGCAGAGGCAGGCAGATCGATGTGAGTTCAAGGCCAGCCTGCTCTACAAACGGAGTTCCAGAATAGTCTGAGTGGTCACACAGAGAAACCCTATCTAAATAAATAAATAAACAAACATAACAACAACAACAAATTCTCCAGGTAAGTATAACGCTCATACAACAATACTTTCACCCTTCTACGGCACACAGATTACAAAAAGCCACGAGTCAAAATGCAGAGAACTGGCGGGACTGTGCCAGCCCAGCCCCAAATGACACATCCAAGACTCAGAGAGCATCTCAGAAGAGGGAGGCAGAAAGATTCTAAGGGCCCAAAGACCAGGAAGCCAGCTGCAAGACTGTATTTTATGATGCAACAGGGAAGGCTCCACTCATGAAATTCCAACAATACGGGTACTTAAACAAGATCCGGATAGTGATGCCAGCTGACATGCCACCGTGGGTGAGAGCAATTGCAGAGGGCTGTAAGGAGTAAGGTTTTCCTCTCCACCCCTAGGTGAACTAGGTCAATTAAGAACGGCTGAGAGAGGGAGACTTACTCTTCAGATATAAGCACCCTAAAGGGTCGGCCCTAAAAAACACACATACAAGCAAAACTAAACAGACTCAGAAGGTTACATGTGTGCGTTCATTTGCTACATACATGTAGCAACAAAAAAAAGAGTTAAGACGCTATGGATTTGAAAAGCAGGGACTGGAAGAGGTTAAAGGAAGAGGAGAGAAATGATGAAATTAATTTTTTAATTAAATTTAAATTATGTTATGAGGTACCAAAACTGGGAGGTTCATGTCATAAAGCAGGTAAGAGGTTACTAGGGGTCTGAAGTGTAGGAGAATAGGGAATGAATGTTCAGAGGTTACAGAGCTTTAGCTAATGAAGAGAGACTTAGGTACAGTACATATTATAGTTCAAGTCATGTCTCTGTGCTGTGTGTGGGTTGTTCAGATTTAACTACATAATCCAAACTGTCCGTGACCTTGTGACCCTCCTGCCTCAGACTCCTAAGGCCTGGGACTGTAGTCACTCACTACCATGTTCACTCTCCAATCTCACTGCAACATGAAATTAGGGAAACTAGTTGCTTTTCCTTTAAAAATATTACTACCCGTGAATGAGGCTTAGTTTTCACATCAGCACAGGATGGGAACTGTTAAATTACTATGACTCCCCCCCCCCCATTTAGGGGTTCTACTTACCTCTGCTTTATAATAGCGCTGAGTATATGTTAAATCAATTATCAATCCGAGTTCTTCATTTTGTTCTTCAATTTTATTAAAAAGATCCAAAGGAGAAAAGCATTCTTCTGGCATAAGCTTAGCTTCGTATTTCTGTCAGAGAGTAAGGTGAGAGGGTAAACCTGCTTCAAAGTCCTGCATCGCGTTATGCATTTATCCCCACCCCCACATAAAACAGGAAAACAGAGGGCAATCAGGACCAGAGCTGAGAGAATTTAAATTTCTGAAAAACACTGGATTAACTCCCACTTACCTTTTGCAAAGGAACTTTGAAAGCGATGAAACGGGTCCCAGGCATCCGCTGTCCAACTGGGAGATAATCTTTCCACCTGTGACAAAAGTTAGTCAGCCTGAATGTCAGCATCGCCTCTAAGACAGCAGGGCGCCTAGCACGCACAGACTGTCCCTTTGCTCTGCTCCGTCCTTCGTCACTCACTCAACCTATTCATCTTCCGTAAATTAACAACCTTTTCCCCGTTTCCCCATCTTGGAAACAGGTACCAGACTGCACAAGCAGGAAATACCTAAAACCAAAACGGCCAGGCCTTCCATGCCCTAACCAACCCAGCCTAGCATCAAACACCAAGGCGATTGAGATTTGAAGACCAGCGACCTCCGCCTCCGGAGCGCTGGAGGCCTCTGGCCCCGCGCTCTGCAGCCGGCAGTGAGGGCAGGGCGCCCGCCGCGGCTCGCAGGGGCCGAGGGGCTGCCCGTGAGCGCTAACGCGGGCGGAACGGGCCAGGCCGCCGCCGAGGCAGCGGGGCGGGCAGCCCGGAGCGGGAGCGGCGCTCACCTTTCCGGGATGTGGTTTCCCACCTTCTTCCTGGGCGCGGCGCGGCCGGAGAAGCCCCGGCCCCGGCCCCGGCCCCGGCCCCGGCCGCCGCGGCCGCCGTGCCACTGGCTCATGTGGGCGCAGCCTCGCCGCCCTCCCAACGCCAGGCGAGCCAGAGCGGCCAGAGTGGCGACCTCCAGGCCGCCGGACGCCGCCGCCGCCGGATCCAGGGCGCCCACGCAGGGACGCGCGGCGCCGCGCCCGCTGCCTCGCCAGTTCGCGTGCGCCCCGGCACGCCGTGATGACGTCACGCGGCGCGCGATGAGCGGTCCGCCCGCCGCGGTGGGTGATTCCGACACCGCCCCCTGTGGCTGGAGGCCGGTACCGCGCCCTCGCGAGTTAATGAGCTGCGCCTGCAGAAGTGCTCAGGACAGGGGAGAGGTAGAGACCAGCAACGCCCCCACCCCACCCCACACACACTTAACACACGCGCACACTCACTTACACACACTTAACACACGCGTGCACACGCGCGCACACTCACACACTTAACACACATGCACACACTTAACACACTCACTTACACACACTTAACGCACACACGCACACACGCACACACTTAACACGCGCGCGCCCTCACACACACTTAACACACGCGTGCACTTACACACACTCACACACTTAACACACGCAACACACTCACTTACACACACTTACACACACACTTACACTCACACACACAACGCACACCCCTTCCCTATTCACGACGTTGTCAATCCTTTACATTCCGTATACTGTTTTTGGCATTTACTTTCCCACACAGGTGTGCCCTTTTTCCGACGAAAATAAATATACCAAAGGTTTTTATACAACATCACTCTGTGCAGACAGAAGCCTCAGGTCCCGAGCACTGAGCAGGAGAAAGGAGACAATGCTGCCTCGGCAGAGCAGTACAGGCGGCTGCATGGTGGGACAGGGGCTTCAATGCACGTGAGACGCGGCTGCCTCTCCCGCCCTCTCTTCTTTCTCCCTTTTCTGACATTAGAACTGTTCGCATTTGTCAGTTCTGTATCTCAGACTGAAGAATCATTTTTCCCAAAGCCAAGAGCCTGAAATGTCGCCTCCTAAAGAGGTACACAGGGAGTGTGAACAGCGCCTGACAGACAAGGTCAGTGTGGAGATCACAGCGACAGGATCGTGTGTCAGCTCTCTGCCTGTGCTGTGCGGCACCAACGGAGTCTGTGATTTTAACAGACTCGTTCATTTGGGTACACTCGGGCCAATATCTCAAAACAGTCAACCTCCAATGGTGACATGTGGAGGATTCAGCTTATGGGCCCACGAGGTGATTTGAGGACAGACATCTGTGACCTTTTTACCGTGTTTACAGAAAGAGACCTGACCATGATGGACATTCCCACCGGAACATACGGTGTGTCAGATCTCAGCCGTGGGAAGTTTGGACTGGGCTTGGCCCTAAAGCAGTGGTTCTCAGCCTGTGAGTCTCGACCCCTTTGGCAAACCTCTCTCTCTCTCTCTCTCTCTCTCTCTCTCTCTCTCTCTCTCTCTCTCTCTCTCTCTCTCTCTCTCTCAAACTATGGTTTATAACAGCAAAATTAGTTATGAAGTAGCAATGAAAATAATTTTATGGTTGGGGGCACCCAACATGAGGTGTATTAAATGGTCATTCATCTTCCCAGCGTGTACAGCGGGCCTGATGGGGAATAGTTAGTTTTGGCTCATGGAGATGAGTCCAGGGCTCTGCCATGCTCCGGTGTGGGGCAGGGATACACTGCTGTGCGTCTGTCTGCCGGGCTGTTCCGTGTGCTGGTGCTGGTGGCATGCCGAGGGCTGAGCTGCTCTGGTCCAGACATTTCCACAGCACTGAATGGAAGAGGTTTATTAATGACATTTTTTACACTATCTCTGAATTAAATGATCTTCAGGAGCAAAAGTGGAGGCTTTATTTCTGATTGGACACAGCAAAGAGAGATGCTGTAGCTGTGGAGCTGGTCCAGCTGTTCAGCCCACTTACAGAACAACTGTGGATGATACACTGTGGGGAACAGACAATGAAGGGGCGTAGTGATATATTATTTATGATTTATTAAAGCTTGGGTAAGGATTCAGAAAAGCAAAGTCAGCCACAAGCATTGAATCCAGGCACACACCTTTAATTCCAGCAGTCAGAAGCTAGGAGGTGGAGGTAGCCACCTTTAATCCTAGGACTCAGGATTGAGAGATCTCTGTGAGTCCAAGGCTACCCAGATCTACACAAGAGTGAATTCATCTAAAAGAGAATTATAGCTCACACCTTTAATCCCAACATTAGGGAAGTGTATACGACATAAACCTCAGACAAGCTTGATATTTTAAAACTGTGCGCACAGACCAACAGGTTAGTTTAGTGACTCCTTGAGCAAACACCTGTGTGCACACACCACTTTGAGACGAAACAGGAAGCTGCCAGGAGTGGGCGGGATTGGTCCCTGCACCCAGCATCACCGGCTCTTCCTCTGCGCTCGCCCCCTAATGTGCCTCCCATGTGGCGGTAGGACAGTGCCCCATCAGAAGGGCCGGAGGGGCTCCTCTTCACACAGGAACCACGCAGGACTCAGACGCAGGACTCAAGACATGGGCTGGAGGCCCCGACAGACAGACTGCTGCACTAATGTCTCAAGTCCTTTCAGGAACTCTTGGAGCTGGAGGCAGAGTCTGCTGTGAGCAGGAGGGGAGCAGAGAGGGTTCGAGGCTGGAGAACAGTGCGTGCTAGGTTACTGCTTAGACGTCGGGTGGTGGAGGGATTTGTCGAGGAAGACACTGAGAGAAGCTCAGCTTATTTCGAGCTCCGCAAATCAGGAGGACAAGCAGATCGGCCCATTTTCTTCCTCCGCCTCCAGACCCGAGTGTTTCCCTGGCCTGATTTGGGGGATCATGGTGGGGCCAGCTGTTGAAGCTCCTTGGGCCTGCCTTCCTGAGTATATTAGACTTGGCTGGCTGGATCCCTGGGAATTCTTTGCTTGCTTTGTCTTCTCAGACCCCAGTAATGTGGGGGAAGAAGTATGGAGTCCATTAGCTTACTTGATGTTCTTTGTCCTTCATCAATGCCATATAAGATAGGTAAATGTACAGCACCTCATAAAAGAAAGCATTTATTGAGGTTGCTTACAGTTTTACAAGTTTAGTTCATCATCATTGTGGGAGCATGGTGATGTGCAGGCAGACGCGGTCCTGGAGATGGCTCTGGACCCTCAGGCAGCAGGAAAAGGGAGTCACTGGGCTTGGCGTGGGTTTTTGAAACCTCAAATACCACCGCTAGTGATACACCTCCTCCAAAGGGCACACCTCCTGTCCCTTCTCAAGCAGTCCTGGTCCTAGATGACCGCGCACTAAAACCTATGACCTACAGGGACCACTCCTATGGAAACCATATCTGAATGCAAAGGGGAAAACTATGTAAGATGGTAAATTGAGCACATTTGATTCTGGAATTTTGCCTAGAAAATAGGATCTCACCTGCCCAGGAAACAGTTTCTTCTCCCAGGTTGTGTCCTTATAACACACTTAATGTGATCAGTTAGTTCTTGATGTGTCAAATCAGGCTCAGATCAATGAGATTCTGGCACTTTACTTCACATCAGCCCAGACTTTTCCATTGAGTTTGGATTCTGAGGAACATAGTGAGAGGACCCATAAAATATGTAAGAGCCAGGGATACAGGTGCAGAGACCCAAGAGAGGCTAAGATCCTGTTATCAATGTGCTAATGTCAAGAGCTCCTGTGTGTATATATACAGGGTGGTGTATGTATCTATGTATATTTCCAACCTGTGTTGTGCATGTTCACTGGTATGTATATATGGCATACTATGCTCATTCACAGAGCTCAGAGGAAGACACCGAGGTGCCCTCTATTCATAAAGCTTATTTCAAGCATACATTAGAAGTTAATGGAGACTAGAAATCGATTCTCTTAAATGGTATATTTGTTAAAAGGTTAAAATATTTTCTGGCCAGGAACCAGTATGGCTGTAAGGGCCCAATGCACCCACTGCTGGCCCACCTTGGCTGCCTCAGGGTTCCTGGAGTACAGGTTGTAAGCGCCTACACTCACTAATCGACTGAGAGGAATGGCAGTCCCAAAGAGTTCCAGACACAAGCCTACATGTCTGACTCTGCTCAGAGGGCGTCTGTGAGAGACAAACGTGTGTTATGAAGTAAGGCACAGAATTTAAACCTAACTGATGACATGTAAAGTCAAGTTCCTGACTCAAGTGAGCTTGCTTTTTGATTGACTCTAACCCCAGATGAGGCTTTCCACCAATGTACAGTTTCAGGTACAAATGAGGTTCCTGACAGAGACAGCACGGTGTCTCCCTAGGTGAGATACTTGACTAGAGCCTGGTACCCTGACACCATGGAAACTGGGAAAGATGTCAGAGCTTACAAGAGAACATTCCTCTGATGGCACTGGCTGGGCTCCCACCAGAGCCTTAGAGGATGCTGTTTGGGGCTTAAACTCTTCACACGTTGAGCCTATTGACGCTCCAGAGCATCACTTGTGAGATAACTTCCAGAACAAAGTGGACAAGCTCACAATCTCTGTGAGACAAGAGAAGACGGCTGCAGCTCTGCGGTCTGTGTCACATTTGTCTCATGTAGACCCCCACGAGATAGTCCTCCTTCCCGCCTTATATTCAACATCAACGGCTCCAATTGTCTAGTCTTGCAACCAAGTCATTCTGATGACCATCTTCCTGCCTGCACTATGGCCACCGAACACAACACAGCACACCACCAAAGTCTGTCTGGCCTAGAGAGAGCACTCTGTTTGCCTGAACATGTTTCCTTGAAGTCTGGAATTGCTCTGAAGTTGTGATGACCTCATCATTGAAGGTAGTGTTTGCTTCTGTCCTCCAGTAAACTTGGTGCCCTGCAAAGGGATGACAGGACAAACACACTGTCAGAGGCAGACCACTGTGAACATCCTCTCCACTGCTTCTGCTAATACTGGCCCTGCCTAAAAGGGGAGCTACCCAGAACACACAGTCATTGTCCATGAAGTTCAAAGAAACTCATATTTTATTTGATATGTGTGTATTTTCAAGCAGATTTATATTCTAAGAATGTGTTATTTAATTCTGCAATAAAAGTTAACTTCTGTGTCATGCTCATGAATCGTTGCTCTGATCAGGCATCACAGAAACAGGATGTGATGT